TCATTTCCATCCATCGGCTGTTGGTACACAGGTACTGAAGTTTGCGACTGACTTGAATCTTCTGTCGGAGGTTAACCGTGGTGACTGTCGACAAATAAACACTGAAGCAGCATAATGTGATCCTTTATTGACAACGTTTCGCCCACACAGTGGGTTTTATCAAGTCACAAACAGGTCTACCTGGGTATATATAGTGTGGAGAATGCTGGGTAAGTTCCTTCTTTTCTTCCTTCTTTCTTTCCTCCCTTCTTTCATTCCTTTGTTTTTCCTTTCCTTCCTTCGCTTCTTCCTTTAATTCATAATTTCCCTTTTTTCTTTTCTTTCTTTGGCATTCTCTTTTTTTTTTATCTCCTTCCTTTGCTTTCCCTTTTCTCTCTCTTCCCTCCCTCCTTCATGCATTCCCTCCCTCATTTCTTAACTTCTTTCCCATTTCTTCTTTTTCCTCCATTCTCTCTTCTTTCCCCTTCCATGTCTTTTCTCTTCTCTCCCTCCCTCCCTCCCTCTCTCCCTCCCTCCCTCCCTTCTCCTCTACTTTATCTGGTCTCTTGCTGATTTCCGTTCCTCTTTTATTTCCCTTATTCTCCCTCTGTTCTTCTGCCGCTCTTATATTCATTCTCCGTTCTTTCTTCTCTTTTCCAGATTATCTCCTCTCTCTTTTTTTCTCTCTCCCGTATTATTCTCTCCTTCCTTCACTTTCCCGTATTATCTCTTCTCTCTCCTCTCTCCTTCCTTCACTTTCCCGTATTATCTCTTTATTCTCTTTCCTTCCTTACTTTCCCGTATTATCTCTTCTCTCTCCTCTCTCCTTCCTTCACTTTCCCGTATTATCTCTTTCTTCTCTTTCCTTCCTTCACTCTCCCGTATTATCTCTTCTCTCTCCTTCTCAGGACTCCATCAACTTCCCACTAATTAACTTACGTCACGACAAAGGAAAGTCTGTATTTAAATAACTCATGTGTGTGTGTGTACTCGCCTTATTGTGATTGCAGGGGTCGATTCATAGCTCCTGACCCCACCTCTTCACTGGTCGCTACTAGATCCACTCTCTCCCTGACCTTTATTATACCTCTTCTTAAAGCTATGTATGGATCCTGCCTCCACTACCTCACTTTCCAGACTATTCCACTTCCTGACAACTCTGTGACTGAAGAAATACTTCCTAACATCCCTGTGGTTTATTTGAGTCTTCAACTTCCAACTGTGGCCGCTTGTTGCTGTGTCCCATCTCTGGAACATCCTGTCTCTGTCCACCTTGTCGATTCATCTCGGTACTTTATATGTCGTTATCATGTATCCCCTGTCCCTCCTGTCCTCCAATGTCGTCAGGTCGATTTCCCTTTACCTTTCTTCGTAGGACATTCCCTTTTAGCTCCGTGTGTATGCTCACCTAGTTGAGGTTGCAGGGGTCGAGTCCTAGCTCCTGTGTGTGTGTGTGTGTGTATGTGTGTGTGTGTGTGTGTGTGTGTGTGTGTGTGTACTCACCTAGTTGAGGTTGCAGGGGTCGAATCCAAGCTCCTGGCCCCGCCTCTTCACTGATCGCTACTAGGTCACTCTCCCTGAACCGTGAGCTTTATCATACCTCTGCTTAAAGCTATGTATGGATCCTGCCTCCACTACATCGCTTCCCAAACTATTCCACTTCCTGACTACTCTGTGGCTGAAGAAATACTTCCTAACATCCCTGTGATTCATCTGTGTCTTCAACTTCCAACTGTGTCCCCTTGTTGCTGTGTCCCATCTCTGGAACATCCTGTCTTTGTCTACCTTGTCAATTCCTCAGTATTTTGTATGTCGTTATCATGTCCCCCCCCCATCTTTCCTGTCCTTCAGTGTCGTCAGGTTGATTTCCCTTAACCTCTCCTCGTAGGACATACCTTTTAGCTCTGGGACTAGTCTTGTTGCAAACCTTTGCACTTTCTCTAGTTTCTTTACGTGCTTGGCTTGGTGTGGGTTCCAAACTGGTGCCGCATACTCCAATATGCGCCTAACGTACACGGTGTACAGGGTCCTGAATGATTCCTTATTAAGATGTCGGAATGCTGTTCTGAAGTTAGCTAGGCGCCCATATGCTGCAGCAGTTATTTGGTTGATGTGCGCTTCAGGAGATGTGCCTGGTGTTATACTCACCCCAAGATCTTTTTCCTTGAGTGATGTTTGTAGTCTCTGGCCCCCTAGACTGTACTCCGTCTGCGGTCTTCTTTGCCCTTCCCCAATCTTCATGACTTTGCACATGGTGGGGTTGAGCTCCAGTAGCCAATTGCTGGACCAGGTCTGTAGCCTGTCCAGATCCCTTTGTAGTTCTGCCTGGTCTTCGATCGAATGAATTCTTCTCATCAACTTCACGTCATCTGCAAACAGGGACACTTCGGATTCGTGTGTGTGTGTGTGTGTGTGTGTGTGTGTGTGTGTCTGTATGCATTAATGCATCTACAGAACAAAAGTGTTTTATGCAAATACATTACTGTGACTGATCGAGGATCGAACCCGTCACATTTACCCAGCCTCTCGGGACACGAGGTAAATTTCTCGACGCCTTTATCCACCAGGTAAACTCCAGGTAGGCCACCATGCTACAAACATTAGGTACCCAGCAACACCGGGCACGGCCACGGCTCGCATCACACACAGTTGAAAACTCAGATGAATCATAGGGATATTAGGAAGTATTTCTTCAGCCGTAGAGTTAGTCAGGAAGTAGAACAGTCTGAAAAGTGTAGTGGAGGCAGGATACATACATAGCTTTAAGAAGAGGTACGATAAAGCTCTTGGAGCAGGGAGAGAGTGGACCTAGTAGCGGCCAGTGAAGAGGCGGGGCCAGGAGCTGTGGCTCGACCCCTGCAACTATATATAGTCGAGTACATATAGGTGAACACACACAGTATCTTTTTCTCCTTCATCTCCATTTCCTTTCATATTTCTCTTTTGTAGGTCTTCTCTTCTCTTCCTTTCTCTTCTCTCTCCTCTCTCATTTTTGCTCTTCTCGCTCGCCCCCTTGCTCCCTCTCCATCTCGTTCTTCTCTCTCTCTCCTCTACCCCCGTCCTTCACTTGTAGGGTACAAGAGATCAATTGGAAAAGTCAAGTGGCTATCTCTTTGTGTGTACTTTTTCATATCCCTTCCTGCGTATCTTTCGTGCTGGGGTGGAGAGAACGAGGACGAGGGGAAAGAAAGGAAGGGGAGGGACGAATGGAAGGGAGAGGGGACGGTAAGGAGGTCGGCAGGGGCGGTGAGCTGGTTCTGGTGAAGGAATGGCTGGGGTGAAAGGGGCAGCAGGGGTACATGGACGATCCCAATAACAGATTTTTTTTTTCGATGCAGAGGAAAAAGGACCTTTATTTCTATGTTCAGAAACGTAGTCTCTGACTGTTGGTGCTAGCAGCATGCAGTTTGATAGAGAGAAAGAGGGGAAGGGTTTGTAACAAGACTAGTCCCGGAGCTAAGGGGGGACTGTCTTATGAGGAGAGGTTAAGGGAACTCAACCTGATGAAAGTGGAGTACAGGAGGACTAGGGCTTATATGATAACAATATACAGTATACATTCCAGCTGGTCAGGAACTGTGAAGGCTTATTCAGCCCTGTCAGCTCCTGAGTAAGGAACTGAAAATGCTGGCTCCTCCTTATGTAAATAAATGACAGAAAACATAATAACATGAGAAGATAAACATTTCATTACATGATTTCAAGCATAAATGTAAAACACTTAAACGTGAGAATTAATCCATTTGAAAGAAAAATGAATTATAAGAAATGATACTTTAATTCAAAGCTAATTTGTACAGATGTAGTTGTAGAAGGTCGTGCGGATGTTGTTGACACCGCGCTTTGAAGATTGTAGAAACACTGAAGCCGTTGTTGTAGAGAAAAGGGGGTTGGAGGTGTCGTAACTGCTGTTTGTGACAAGACAGTTTCCACAATACAATTCTGCCAAGGTGAACTTATCCTCTGATCCCCACAGTGTTGAAAATGTTGGCTAACCAATCTTATCACAAGACACGTAGTGACGCTGGGTGTGTAGCTGGCTAGGGTGATCGGTGGAAGGGGGCGGTTGGATCATAGGTATGTGCAGCTAGCTCACTACATCCCTGCTGTCCTTATCTTCACCTCGCCCGTGTCAGATGACCTACGCTGACAAACCAAGGCTATAATTAAGAAATAAATACAGTTACAACTTGCTCGCTTAATCACTCGCACGATAGGCATACAGACTTTAAAAGAAATGATGAGGATTAAAAAGTGACGTTAAATTCAAAGCAAGGCAGGGATAAACACAAGTGTACAGCCCTAAATAAGAGTGAAGCTCTTAAGACAAAGAAAAAGATGTATAGTACAGGAGTGGAACGCATACTTACAGGTTTGATGGAAGCAGCCAGTCAAGGGATTTCTCCACTGGTTAAAGATTCACACATCACCTCCCACCGGGTGATAAGAGAGAAGGGGGGATAGCGGGAGCTAGACACATCACGTTCCTTAACTAGCAGACTGCCAACAAACAACCATCTCCATACATTCATAATTTCCACACTGCTATATTGAACTTTTCCCTCACAGGAACTGTCTTGAGGAACTTATCTGGTTCCGTCTTGCAGACAGCAAGGGATAAATCCCTTTATAGTCTGGGGGAAGGATGAACGGACCTTGGTTACCTGGAGGTTATTCCGGGAAACAACGCCCCCACGGCCCGGTCCATGACCAGGCCTCCCGATGGATCAGGGCCTGATCAACTAGGCTGCTACTGCTGGCCGCACGCAGTCCAACGTACGAGCCACAGCCCGGTATATTGTGGTGCATAACTGTTCCTAGATCAACATGAAGACGAGTATGTTAGTCAGATTTATTGCTAAGAATGTATATTTTTTTAAGTTTAGGAAATCACTTTTTGTGTTTTCATGCTGATAGGATGATTCACCGTAAATCAGATTCCAAGATGGCCACTTTCTTTACCATGAAGTAGCGGTTATAAACACTGAAATACACCTCTCTGAGCCCTGTTACTTTCTAAGTCCTGCCTCTCTAAGCCTTTCTCTCTCTCTCTCAGCCCTGCTTCCTTGAGCCATGCCTCACTGATCCCTGATCCCTGCCTCAGACACCGGCCAGTAACCACTGTCTCTGTCTCTCCCGTGGTGGTCGCGACTACAGCTGACGGGGAGACACGAGACGACGCCATCGCCACCAATCACCGTCTGCGTGCTGTGAGGAACAGGCTGGAGGAGGCGCACGAGACAGCACGGGGCGCACTTCTCACCCTGCACACCCAATACAACCATAGCAAGACCACCTGGAACGTCTTCACCAGGTACACCCTCCTCAAGGCCATGATCAAGGTGAGACATAAACCATGAGATTAAAGTTGGTGGGAAAGACATACACTGCAATCACTTTACGAGATAACTTTCTCATGCCCCTGGAGGTCTATGTGACTAGGATCCACGAAACCTTTACCCTAATCCCTCTTTAAATAATTTAAATGTGCTAGTTTCATACACAAGTATGCTACATTCAGGTCTCAGGCTATTTAGACTTTAGAGCAAAGTTAGGTAAAAGGATACAAGTGCTACTAATGTGACATTTTATTGTGGCAACTTTTCGCTCTCCAGGAGCTTTGTCAAGCCGTGTAGGGACACAGCGGTCTTAGAGTGAGGGAATGAGGGACCGACCACCTCAGAACTACATCTTCAATGGTGATGTACTGATTACATTGTCTTCACGTCTCTACTGTTTCTGCAGACTCCTCTGTATTCGACTGAAGAAGCTTACTGTGTAGTTGAAGCGTTTCGGAATAAAGATACCTAACTATTGCACATATGACTCACGAAACTGTAATGACACGATTGCAAACAAACCATACCACGGGTGGGGATAGAACCCGCGATCATAGTCTCAAAACTCCAGACCGTCGCGTTAGCCACTGGCTAACGCGACGGTCTGGAGTTTTGAGACTCTGATCGCGGGTTCTATTCTCGCCCGTGGTTTGGTTTTTTATTGCACATATGTCTTACTATACCCAGGATGTTTGTCTTCATCGTACATAGCTCGCTGGGCAATTGGCCTGGGGCGCCATTCATGAACCTGTTTTTTTTTTATTTTACCGTTCTGCGGATTTCAACGGCTTGATTGCTGACTCAGAGTCTGACTCTGCTGGTGTTTTGTTGTGGGGTCCACTTCACTTAAGAACTTCTGCATTTCTGGCCTTGGTGGGGTGAGCATGTCTCACCTACCCCTGCCTTTACCATCACTGACGAATTTTCCTTTTGCTTCCCGGGATCTCCGGTCAGTTGGTCGGGGCACCATCCATCAGCTTCTTTTAGGCCTTAAGAAGAAAAAAAAGAGCATAGCGCTGTTGACTCAGCTAAGTTTTGTGTTAGTTATTATTTTGTCAAAGGCACTTGTCGATAAGACACTTGTCCTGTTCGGTGTGTAGGGAAGAGAGTGGCTGGCTCTGCCAGAGCTTAGGCAAAGGGAGTCCACGTAACCTAATTGAAAACATATTGTTCTGTTTCTGTTTTGAAGGGAACATTGTTTCCTCTTCATTTCCAGCCCAGATTTCGACAGTATATTACTGGCGGTTGCCCTGGAGGCAGGGTTCAACAATGTGCAAGCTTTGGTAGCTCTTAACACCCCCAACAACTTCTGCTTCGGCCTTGCTGGTGTCCGGGCTTCTCTCTCTACTCATGAAAATTCTCCTCATTCTTTCTCTGGAACGCTTGTTCAGCACATCATTGGTCTGGGGGCGATGTTCAGCAACTTCTTTCACAGTCTCTGGACGGTGTAAGCTGTCAGTGGACCTTCAAACTCAACAACAACAGTACCTAGGTAAATGGATACCCTCGGGAACTTCTACGCCCGTGTTGATGGAGTGCAAACGTGTTGCTCAGTAAGACTCCTGGCTCTGCTGATATTTAGACCTGGGGTCCACATGATCTAAGTTGAGAGCTTAATGTTCCCATTCTCTTTCCTAAGGAAACTTTGTTATCTTCCCAATTCCCGCCCTGTTCAATATCTTGTTCGCGGACTCGGGGAGGCGGGGATCAATAAAACATCAGCTTTGGTGGCCCTGAATAACACCAGCATGTATTTATACATTGCAGCTTTCACTCAGCAGGAACATTAATGGTTATAATTATAACCGAAGTTTTTAATGGGGTGGAGGGGTAAGCCAGCGGAAGGCCTCGGTCAGATGACCAAAAGCTCCAGTTGCTGTCATCATATGACTAAGACCGTGACAAATCTACATAACCTAACCTAAAATATCAGGAACTTGTCAAGCCTAAGTTCCTAGTAAGGGGAAAAACGTAACCAGTAATAAAGTAACTGAAACGTTATATGTGTTCATTTACCTAACTGACTTAATATTTTCACAATATTCACGGTGTGGACAACACCGCCACCAGTTTCTCCATACTCTTGTTATTAAACTTACAATACAATTTTTAATTCTTTATTTGGTACAGATAATGTAGTTTACATGAAATAAAACATTGGTGGGCACAAAAGAAAGCCACATCACATTAATACACATCGCGTATTAATGTGATGTGTCTGCATCCTTGTGTAAAGTGTAGCGCCAGAGATCACATTAATACACTTGGCCTAATGTGATCTTTGGCACTACACTTTACACAAGGTTTGGTGAGGGGCTCTTGATCTAGGGAACTGGATCTGTGCTCCAGTTCCCTGAGTTAAACCTGAATACCTTCCATCCCTCCCCCAAGCACTGTATAATCTTATGGGTTTAGTGCTTCCCCCTTGATTATAATAATAATAATAATTGGCACAAGGTTGCAGAGACCCTCGGCTTCATGTTTAATATGTATATACACTTCACTGTTTATTTTTATCTTATTGTTTGACTTCCTTGACTTATCCTTCGTTACACTCTACATAATTTACTGTATAAAATCATTAAAAAATACAAAATGTACGAAGCCTACATAAACATTAGTTAACTATTAGATATAAACTAGCTAACTACTAGGTAAGAACAAACTAACTTACTATCGCATCCTTCAATGGAGGTTCCTTGTTGCTGAGAGGCTCTTGATCCAAGGAATTAGACCGGATTGCCTCGTATTCGCCCAGATATTGTTTAACCTCTGTAGGCTCAGCTTCGGTAATTTATGTTATCCCGTCAGTAACTAAGAAATCGGATCAATATCTTAAGTATGACTCAGTATGAATCGGGTGTTCGTGACTAGGTTGGTAGCGTCCTGAGCTCGCAGCCCTGAGAGTCCGGGTTCGGTCTCCGACATGGGTGGAAACTTTGGGAATGTTTCCTTACACCTGCTATCCCTGTTCACCTAGCAGTAGTTAGGTACCTGGGTGTGAGTTGACTGGTGTGGGTCGCATCCAGGAGACAAGATTAATTTAGGCTGCCCTAAATGCTCTGCATAACGAGGAGCTTTACATACAGCATGTCAGTGATGTCAGCTATGTCTGTAATAGTTGTATCATACACTGTTAGAAGTAAAGGTTATTATTATTATTATTATTATTATTATTATTATTATTATTATTATTATTATTATTATTATTATTATTATATTGCTAACTCACACAAAACAGAAGAAACGCTTTCACCGTCATTTATTTCAGTCTTGTCAGGAGAGTGTTGACATTACAGTTCGGATGATCCCTTGAACTACAACATTCCCACCTCTCCTTTAGAGCGCTAGCACTGTACTTCTCGCCTCCAGGACTCGAGTCAGGCTAACCGGTTTTCCTGAATCCCATTATAAATATCACTTTGCTCACACTCCAACAGCACGTCAAATAAAAAAAAAAATCCCTTTCCTCCACTCCTATCTAACCACACTTTCTGGGACGACTTCGACTCCTTCCCTCCACCCTAGATTTATTGACCTCCTAGTCATTCTGTTCTGCTATAGTCTCTCTACTTGTCCAAAACTACCTAATATAATGAAAATTTGTGAAAGCACAAAGGAAATTTATTGTGTAATAAAATTTTAAGATTATCAAATAAAGATTTTTTAGCTAATTTTTAAATAAGTTATCCCCAGAAAACTCATATATTGTTCCGTCTGGCGTTAGTTAATATATTGTGGCTTCACTTACAGGACATTCTCACCATTCTTCCCCACTGTAGGAGGTGGTGCGGTTGGAAACTGAGTACTGGCAGATGCTGGAAGTGCCTCGTCAGGAAAAGCAGGAGCCTGTGCTCTCATACGTGCTACGAGCGTGTTCAATCATCGAGAAGAGCCAGAGGTCGCAGGAACAGGCGGAGAAGGCACGCGCAGCCGATGAGGAGGAAGAGGAAAGGAAGAGAGAGAACGCTCAGAGGTTGAATGGTAAGTTACGGTGAGGGGAGAGGAATGGATATGGTGGAGGAGTGTGTATTTAATTAAATAGGAGGTTGAGTTCCAGCTCCTGGATTCCACTTCATAACCATTAATCAAGTCGCATACCAAGATGGCTAGCCTAATTACAGTACAGTAGGACCTAAATTTAACAAGAGGTTGTGTTTCCAGAGATCCCGTGAATCTACACAAGAAATCACTAGTAATGCAAAATTATGTTCGCATAATAAACTGCGTCAGATTTAGGCTTTTTGTTATTCAAAAGCCATATCTGCCTAAATATCACTCTAAAAAAAAGAAAGTGTGTTTGGGTAAGTCATCTTTCATGAAATCTTATTGTCAGTTTTGACTTTAAGGGTTATGTACCAAGACTCCCAGAAAGGGGAATTGAAAATATAAATCTTGCAGCTTTCTCTCCTGTGTCCTACAGTACATGTCTGCTGGTAGTGCTGGAGCTAAGTCTGTTGTCCTGAGACTCTTCTCAGCACTTTGAGAATCCCAGGGCTACCAGGTTTAACTCTTTGATGAGAAAATTTTTTAATCTGCACTCAGCTTGTTTTGACATGTAAATTTAGACGTATACGTATGAAATTAAAAACTTTGATATTTCCCAATATTTTTACATTTTTTGTTTGTTGTCCATCAGTAAAAATATTGGCTACTCAAATTCTGTGAATTAGAAACACTACTAATTTGAAGCTGACTTTTACTGGACAAGTATATGCAATTTATGGGACGCATAATGGACGGTAAAGTTAGCTTATGTTTCTCAACCACAATGAGACACGCAAGTTAATGCTTTTACTACTAACACACAGTGTTAAAAAAATAGGTTAGACAAATACATGCATAGAAATAGGTGGATAAGAGCTGCCTAGTATGGGCCAGCAGGCCTTCCGCAGCGCTTCTGTATTATTTTGCTTTTATTAGACAGCTGTTACCTTAAAGGCAAGTAGCGTGTACTATAAACAATGGTAGATTTGCTACTGTACAACCAGTGATAACTGGTTAAACCCAGTGGTAGTTGTGCTCCAATCTTTTGAATTCTATTCTACAACCATTGGTATTTGTGCTACATTTTATGTGAATGGCCTACCTGGCCTAAGAGTTTCACGTGTCAGTATTTGTAACATAAAACTAATGTGGAGAATAAGGATAAAACAGGACTACAACTTGCTGCTGGAAGATTTAAACAATTTACAGTAATGGTAGAAAACCAGAGGAAGAGCACCACTAAAGATGAAGGTAACTCATAGAATAGAAAATGGAAAAAGTACCTAGGGGTAGACATCACACCAGATTTTGCCTGAGGTGCACATTCACAGAAAACCTTGGGCAGCATGGGCATAGCTAGCGAATATAAAATAATAGTCTTTTGTATTTTGAACAAAGAAGCACTTAGATCATTGTACGTGGCGTATGTATACGAGTACTGAAGTATGTGGTACAAGTTTGGAGTCTTCATATCGTCAAGCATACAAAGAAACTCGAGAAAGATCAGACGTTTGCTATAATGTTGGTCCCAGAACCCCGAGGGCTGGGATAAAAATATATAATAAGGGCACTTGAGCCTGCGTCACTAGAACACCAGAGAGCCACAAGAAACATGATCACAACTGATAAGATACACAGAGGCAGGAGAAAGTAGAGAGAGGGAACCATTAGAAACTAATACGTTAAAGTAAGAACAAAAATCCTTCAGCATGAGTGTAATGAAGAAATGACATGCATTAATGAGGAAGGGATGTTTTGAATGCCAACTCCATCTTAAGGATTCAAAAGTAAATTTGACAGTCCAAAAGGTCACAGGAAGTAAGACATATCAGTTATGAATTGCAAAGGCAGGACCCAAGAGGTAGAGCTCGACTTTCAGAGGCAAGGTGAATGCACACACGTAGCCATGTTCACTCACAGTGTCCAATAACAAGACTAACAAGAGAGAGAATAATACAAGGACATCAGCACAAATTAACTCAGCAGAGTCGTGGAGGAGACAGAGAGAGAGAGGAGAGAGAGAGAGAGAGAGAGAGAGAGAGAGAGAGAGAGAGAGAGAGAGAGAGAGAGAGGTCTAATTACATCTGCTAAATTACCATGTTATAGTGAAGTACCAGTTATATATGAACACCTGTCTTGTTACTATCACCGTCTCTGCTGCCACTCCCACCTTTACCCCCTACCCCCACCCAAAATCCACACCCGCTATCCTCACCCAAAACCCACACCCCCTCCAATCACCCAAAACCCACACCCCTCCAGTCACCCAAAACTCACACCCCTACCCTCACCCAAAACCCACACCCCCGTCCAATCACCCAAAACCCACACCCCCTCCAGTCACCCAAAACCCACACCCCCTCCAGTCACCCAAAACTCACACTCCCTACCCTCACCCAAAACCCACACCCCCTCCAGTCACCCAAAACCCACACCCCCTCCAGTCACCCAAAACCCACACCCCCTCCAGTCACCCAAAACCTACCTTCATCCTATTTCTACGTGGATACCTGGAGAGGGTTTGGGGGGGTCAACGCCCCCGTGGCCTGGTCTGTGACTAGGCCTCATGGCGGATCAGGGCCTGATCATCAAGGCTGTTACTGTTGGCCGCACGCAACCCGACGTACAAACCACAGCCCGGGCTGGCCAGGTACTGACTTTGGGTGTCTCCAGCGCCTTCTTGAAGACAGTCAGGGGTCTATTGGTAATCTCCCCCTTATGTATGTTGGGAGGCAGTTGAACAGTCTTGGGCCCCTCACACTTATTATGTTGTCTCTTATCGTGTTAGTGGCACCCCTGCTTTTCATTAGGGGGATGTTGCATCGTCTGCCGAGACTCTTGTTTTCATAGGGACTGATTTTCGTGTGCAAGTTTGGTACTAATCCCTCTAGGATTTTCCAAGTGTATATAATCATGTATCTCTCCCGCCTGCGTTCTTGGGAGTACAGGTTGAGGAGCTTCAAGCGTTCCCAGTAACTGAGGTGTTTTATCGCAGTTGTATGTGCCTGGAGTTTACCTGGAGAGAGTTCCGGGGGTCAACGCCCCCGCGGCCCGGTCTGTGACCAGGCCTCTTGGTGGACCAGAGCCTGATCAACCAGGCTGTTACTGCTGGCTGCACGAAATCCAACGTACGAGCCACAGCCCGGCTGGTCAGGTATCGACTTTAGGTGCTTGTCCAGTGCCTGATTGAAGACAGCCAGGGTCTATTGGTAATCCCCCTTATGTATGCTGGGAGGCAGTTGAACAGCCTCGGGTCCCTGCCGTGAAGGTTCTCTGTACATTTTCTAGGTCAGCAATTTCACCTGCCTTGAAAAGTGGTGTTAGTGTGCAGCAATATTCCAGCCTAGATAGAACAAGTGATCTGAAGAGTGTCATCATGGGCTTGGCATCCCTAGTTTTGAAGGTTCTCATTATCCATCCTGTCATTTTTCTAGCAGATGAGATTAATACAATGTTGTGGTCTTTGAAGGTGAGATCCCCTGACATTATCACTCCCAGGTCTTTTACATTAGTTTTTCGTTCTGTTGTGTGGTTAGAATTTGATAGTCCGATATAGTTTTACTTTCCTCACGTTTTCCATATTTAACTCTCATAAACAGATTTAAACTACCTAAACTACTGCAAGACAGAGATAATAACCATTAACTTTTTCAAGAACGTATTTAATAATTATTGCACATTGCAAGAACATATTTAAGTCATTAAGCATTGCATTTACAGATTTAACAATCATTAACTATGACATGAACATAATAAAGTTTATTAAATGTTGCGAGGAAAGGTTTGACAATCGATACCATAACTGTTTTATAAACAAATCTAAAAATCATTGAATATTGCCAAGAACAAATTCAACAGCCATGACGCAAGTTTGTTTTTAGCCATTCTTATTTTTCTTGTTTTAAGAAACACTGTCTTGTATAGTCTTATTAGTTATTCGTTTATGATGTGTTGCTGGTACAGCCTCGTCTTTAACCATGTGTTGCTGGTACAGCCTCGTCTTTAACCATGTGTTGCTGGTACAGCCTCGTCTTTAACCATGTGTTGCTGGTACAGCCTCGTCTTTAACCATGTGTTGCTGGTACAGCCTCGTCTTTAACCATGTGTTGCTGGTACAGCCTCGTCTTTAACCATGTGTTGCTGGTACAGCCTCGTCTTTAACCATGTGTTTACCTGGAGTTTACCTGGAGAGAGTTCCGGGGGTCAACGCCCCCGCGGCCCGGTCTGTGACCAGGCCTCCTGGTGGATCAGAGCCTGATCAACCAGGCTGTTGCTGCTGGCTGCATGCAAACCAACGTACGAGCCACAGCCCGGCTGGTCAGGAACCGACTTTAGGTGCTTGTCAAGTGCCAGCTTGAAGACTGCCAGGGGTCTGTTGGTAATCCCCCTTATGTATGCTGGGAGGCAGTTGAACAGTCTCGGGCCCCTGACACTTATTGTATGGTCTCTTAACGTGCTAGTGACACCCCTGCTTTTCATTGGGGGGATGTTGCATCGTCTGCCAAGTCTTTTGCTTTCGTAGTGAGTGATTTTCATGTGCAAGTTCGGTACTAGTCCCTCTAGGATTTTCCAGGTGTATATAATCATGTATCTCTCCCGCCTGCGTTCCAGGGAATACAGGTTCAGGAACCTCAAGCGCTCCCAGTAATTGAGGTGTTTTATCTCCGTTATGCGCGCCGTGAAGGTTCTCTGTACATTTTCTAGGTCAGCAATTTCACCTGCCTTGAAAGGTGCTGTTAGTGTGCAGCAATATTCCAGCCTAGATAGAACAAGTGACCTGAAGAGTGTCATCATGGGCTTGGCCTCCCTAGTTTTGAAGGTTCTCATTATCCATCCTGTCATTTTTCTAGCAGATGCGATTGATACAATGTTATGGTCCTTGAATGTGAGATCCTCCGACATGATCACTCCCAGGTCTTTGACGTTGGTGTTTCGCTCTATTTTGTGGCCAGAATTTGTTTTGTACTCTGATGAAGATTTAATTTCCTCATGTTTAC